TCTCCACCTCCTCCTCTTCGTCTTCATTGTCATCCCCATCTTCACCTTCTCCTCATTATCAGCACCAGCACCGGCACTATCAAGATAATCTTCATCACCACCACCGTCGTCGATGTTCCTCCTACTTATCATTCTCATTATATTTAATTGAAATCACCTCCTGAGCTTACCACCACCTATAATTGTGTATGTGGATGGGGGAGGGGGTGGGGCGGCATGTGCCCTGGGAAATCAAGTCCAAAGTGTCAACTTAAATACACATTATAGTATAACAAAATGAGCAGAAAACAGATTGTGTGCCCCATATTTTTATTGTGCCACGGCCTGCTCGGCAGAGGACCAAGTTTTCTTCCTCCATTTTTTTTCTTTCTTCATTTTCAGAGAATTCTGAATTAAAAGACACTTTGAAATGTAAAGACTTTTTTTTTTCTTTATCAAAGATTACAGACTGGATCACAGGGCAGTCAAACACCTTCTTTATACATTCGTAAACAAGTTTTCATCGTCACCATTACATTTGTCTTCATAATTCACCTTGAACATCCCCTTTAAGGCCATGTTTATGACAATAGCATCACTGATTTCTAACAATAAACCAAGCCTGTTACATTATACAGCTGATACAATTTCCGCTTCACCTGAGAACAACATCATCATCTTCCTTCTCCATCTCTCTCTCTCTCTCTCTCTCTCTCACTACCATTACAAACTCCCTGATTTCTACTCTCCTCTTCAAAAGAAAGGACAAATAACTTCCTTGGCGACATTTTTGTTCCTCTGTTGAGCACAAAAGTGTTTTTTGTGTCTCTTTCTCCATGGCTCGAAAAATCACCCTGAATATCGCGAAGACATCTGTTATTTTCTCGCAACACTCTTTCTAATTGACTAGCAAACGCTGGTAACGAGTTTCGAGGACATGTGACGAGGTTCTTGGATAGCCTTAATTCAATGCTTTTCAAGCAAATTGTGTATACTATGCCGTTTTAAAATAAAGTCACAATTTCACAAATGATTGTTGGTAAATTATGAAAACCCGTAAACCAATACTACTATATATTAACGGATAATCATTGATGTTCTGCAAATTAATGTATGTAATGTGATATCACAATGCTCTTTACGATTCTGAAGGATTAGAACACGTTCTTGTATAGTATCTTCAAAACGACTTCAGATGCATTACACCTGGATTAAAGGCTACATCTTCCTACCCTGAGCACACGACCAGATGAAAAAGGTGTTTCATGCGCTGTCGATTTTCACATTTTCGTGTTTTAATTTCCCCCGGGATGCGAAGAAAAGATTGCTTTCTTCATGAGATGACTTCCCCTCACTGTCATTTCTATCTCTTCGTTAGGTACACCTTGACTTAGTCTACAGATTCAGACTATATTCAGCTAGACAATAACTTGCTCATAACGGCGCATAGAGATAATGCACTCTTTATCTGTTGTAGGCACTTTACATGGTCGGTCGTATTGCGGAACAGAGTGTCTGCACGATGAGACTATGCAGATTGCTGCACGGTATACTGCACTACATAGGTCGTGCACTTTAATAGCTGCTGCTCCTCAGCCTAATATAGTTAGGCTAGGCTCAAGACTTCATGGAATTATTGTGTTTCAGTGTCAAATTAAAGCCCGCGCGTGCAGACTAGTTTACTGACAGGATGGGAAAGGGAAATTTACTGCAAAACAGATCTCGCCCTGCTTGTTGTAGCCTGGCTGGTTTTCAGATTTCACGAATCATTTCACCTCACACTCTAAGTATATGGGACTAAATATAGCAGCACTGATGTGTTAGCACTGTAGTTAGAATAGCAAGTGCACTGTGTTTTGCTCTTTGTAAAGCATGTAGAGAGAGAGAGAGAGAGAGAGAGAGAGAGAAAGAGAGGGAGAGAGAGAGAGGAAGGGAGAGGAAGGGAGAGGAAGGGAGAGCGAGAGCGAGAGGGAGAAACATTACTTATTTAAAGAAATACCTTTAAGGTCGTTATAATCATGATAATAGTGTATGCGTTTAAAAGTATAAATATAATCCCCGATTAAATTCTTTCTCAATTGCTTTATGAAATGTGTTATATTGAAAGGGAGAATATGACACCAGAACCCTACATTATGACTAATTTTATTTTATACTGATTGAAAATAACATGTCGTCGTACTTTTAATTAAAAAAAATATTTGGACCAGGAGAAATATACGCAGGGTTTAATTGTCATCAACTTTGACGTATATCATCTGTTTTGATGAGACTCAGAAAGAAGAAACACATCATTATTCCCAAATGTCACAAGGAATCTTCAAGGAATTTAACAAGCAAACCGCAATGGCTCTGTCAGATGTTTTTTGCTACTTTGAACAGAGGAAAATGCCATGTTTGTTCGAATTTGGAACTGTTTGCTCCGTATTACGTCTTTTTGCGAACACAGGAGATCTTCTTAGCAGGAAACAAAATAATTCATGTCTTCATGCAGATTTTAAAATAATCATAGCGGTGCTGTTGACAAGGATTTTCCAAATGCAAAGGCAATTAGGGTTTCGTATTATGTATGGTGCATACATTAATTTGAAGAAGAAAACAAAAATCAGATGTATGGAATTGGAAGAGTTGCCTTTTTCCCAAAGGCAAAGAGTTGCATCAGGTATAACCATTCATTTTCACAGTGAAAAAAAGGCTTTTCATCTTTGCCGCACGGGCAAGAGCAGACATTATTATTCTTGTTTCATTCATATATAATGCACTTTCGTTCTAGTTAGGTTTGTTTCAAAGTTTATACGCTATCCTATCTCGTTACAAAATACATCTGAAGAATTGCCTTACATGAGAAACCCAGCTCCTATTAAACGTCTCTTTCTTCCTTATTCCAGTCTTCTCTATAACCCTCTTTCTCTCCGTCTATCTGCCTATCACATTCTCTTCAACTCTCTTTGCGACTCCCTGTCAGCCCCTCTCCCCCCCCCCCCCCTCTCTCTCTCTCTCTAACCGAAATTTGTATAAAGAGTTGAGGGGAAAGTCTCCGACTAAAGTGAGACCGAAAACCAAGACAATGAATGCAATTATTTATAACCATCTTGCGATCAATAGTTATGATGAATGAAAATGTGGTCTTACGGCGTTGTGTAAATGGGAGCATTGCCTAGGTCACTGGCGTATCCTGACTTCTTGAACCGAATAGATAGGAGTGGGCACAAATGGGGGGGGGGGGGGTGACATGGGGGAGTTCCTCCAACAACGGGGGTAGGGGTTGGGGTAAAGTTGATCCCTCAGTTCGGGGATGAATGGAAGGGGGAGGCCCCATTAGGTCCCCGGTCCACACTTATGGCTAGATTTTGGTAATAGAGGCTTTTCAAACAAACTCAGTTTTTACAATGAACAAAAATGCGAAAGAGAGAGAGAGAGAGAGAGAGAGGGGGTGGGGGGGGGGGGGGTAGAGAGAGAAAGAGAGAAAGAGAGAGAGAGAGAGAGAGAGAGAGAGAGAGGGGGTGGGGGGGGGTAGAGAGAGAAAGAGAGAAATAGAGAGAGAGAGAGAGAGAGAGAGAGAGAAGAAGAAAATAGAGAGGATATTTTGCCTTTAAAATAATGTTCTTTATATCTAAGTAAGATGTTAAACTCTTCACACAATAGGATATTATACTGATATCATGTCATGCTATATGGAAATGTTTTGAAGCTCTAAGGAGACATATCGTTTCCATTTAAATGGTATAATACAAAGTCATTAAAATGTGCATATTCACTGTTCTTTTCAAAATCCAATCAATTTACTGATCCGCAGAATCACTCAAATATAATTTTCATAACTCGTGGATGCTAAACCTCTATTGTGTGCAAAAGCATTTCCAGATCCAATTACGCGTTTTACATTACAATACTGACTAATATACAATTCCGATCCATCATACAGCTATTTCATTTCAAATCAACGACATCTCTTGAATTATCAGGAGGCGCGTTGGCTCAGAGCTATAGAGCAGTGGTCTCGTAACCGGGAGGTTCCGGGTTCGATACAAAGTCGATGCGCTCGTGCCCTTTGGTAAGGCATTAATCCTCATTACCAAGTCCCTCGGAGAGAACTTAAATCCGTCGGTCCCCTGGTTACTAATTTACAAGCATACACACGCTCTCTTAGCATTCAGTTAAAACAAACAAACAAATAAACACCAACTGCCATTATTTTAAGAGGCGGTTATAATATTATTCTGGTAAAGGTCTACAAACTTTAGCTGTCACTTGTCATATAGTTCGAATGTGAGATCATTATTTGGAAGAGCCATCATTTTCAGGGGACATTATTTTTCTATGATACTCTTCCACACTTACATGTACATCAACAGAATTGAAAAGCTCTCACATTATTTTCTCACCTTTCCCGGAACTTAACATTCTCTTTAATTTTCGTCTCTAAGTTCCGCCAACCACATGAATTGCTGGCGTTTAGCTCCCGGGTGCATTATGGGCTGTTGTTTCAGGAAATTGCTCTGGCTGACGCTCGCATTGGGAGCGATTTTAAGCATTATCTTTTCGACGCTGTAGCGATCTCCATATTATGAGGATCACCAAAGCGTTATGGCATCCCAGGCTTTGGCACATCAGAGAGAGAGAGAGAGAGAGAGAGAGAGAGAGAGAGAGAGAGAGAGAGAGAGAGAAAGAGAGAGTGTGTGTTTTCACAAGATTACCTACTTGTCTCATAATGTAGATGAAGAGCTGTGAGTGATATACTCATCAAGATTGTGTGGGGTTTCTTGTGAATTATAATGCCTATGCGAGGATGATGCCTTAGTACCGAATATCAACTTTGCATTTTCTGAAAGGATATATCACTTAGGTATTCTTTAAGTCACGTACAGTATATATGGGAAACTCGCTGCGCGAATAGGCCTATAATTTGACAGTTACCCGAATAGTAGTATTTTTAAAGATTATCGGCAGCTCATTCTCATGATGCTGCAGTATATTTTTAACAAACAAGACAGTGCTTGAAAATTACTAAATAATTATCACATTTTACTTTTGAATCAGGACCATCGTTAAGGAAAGATGAAAGCAGGAAGGTTTTTCCAGACGTCCCTTGTCGTAGTGGTGGTCATACTGGTAGTCATCGCCGGGGCAGAAGCGAAGAAGAAAAACAAGAAACACCCTCCCGATTCACCTGGGCGGCTTAAAGGTAAGACATCATATCTAGTTAGTACAGAGTGTACACACGGTTGGATTCTATGACATTATGTAGGGAGGGGGGGGGGGCGTGCCCACGCTTTGAAAAAAATGTTGATAAACGATAAATTATCGTTTATATTATCAAGTACTACTGTAGTAATGATTACTTCGCTTGAAACTCTTCTAAACATTAGACAACGAAGAAGTTTATAAAACACAAACCCAGGAGAGGCATTGAGAAGTGCTGAAATAATTGTACAACTATCATGACTACTGAATACAAGTAAGAAGAATGACTAAACAAAGAAGGAAATAATAAATAAATGAACTCGTAGAAAAAACATAAGTCTGTGAAACGAAGAGAAACAGAGAAGATAGATTAATGATAGATGAAAGAAAGAGAGGAAGAGAGGGACAGAAAGAGAAGTAGAAACGAGGGAGAAAAACCATGAAGTGAGGTAACATTTTTCTACTAAATTACAAAATTGCATCAGATTGTTGTCATGACAACAACAGTGTCATCTGTTTTTATCAGTCACTGCATCAGTCCATAAAGAGCTAAAAAAATATTTGCTTGACATTTGTCTGACTTTCTCTTGCCCTCGCATTGACTCTAACCTATACCTTTTTACTTTTTGCAGACGACTCGCAATTTGTGTATAGATACTTCCCCGCGTTATTAGATTTTGATTGTCGCAGTTGATAGTATTGATTTAGTTTCACTGTCTATACTCATTAAAGGTATTCCTGACAATTTCGCGTGACAATTTCATCATGAGTACACTATTTTTGTGCTCCGCGAGACGTATTCTATTATTGAGTTCAGTCTCAGTGTCGTTTGCCTGAGTAAAGACATTTTATCGACGAATACAAATGAAAACAAAATTGATAGAACTTTGACGGTCGATATCTGATTTCGGAGAAGGTATAAATGCAAACATTGTCAGATCTGAAATGGTGGGGATAAAAGTGTAATTAAAGATTCTGTTAATGGGCATACGGGCACCATTTTACCTCTGGACGGAGGGGGGGGGGGGGGGGGGGGCTTTGTCGACCCTTGCTCGAATATCACGCTTTATGGTTATATAGCGCCTGGGATTATTAAAGTGTGTTGTCCATAAAACATCACGACGTGCTTTGTTGTCCAGACAGGTTGCTTTTCCGGACAGTTGATTTATAACAACAATTTAAAGAAGTTTACAAGCAATATTTCATAAATCTTTTAAGATTCATGTTGGAAAATATTATAAAGGACAAATATTTGTGATGATTTTGGCTATTTGATGATTATTTTTCGTTAAATCCGAAGACAAAAGAGAACGTTTTACGTTTATGTTTTAGTTTGCTAAGTGTCCGACACCCCTTTTATAATAATCACATTCTCACAGGGAGGGGGTGGGGTATAGCGCCTCTGTCCCAAAACCTATGGATGCATCAAAACATTTAAAAAGGTAGAAGAAAAACAGATAGAAGAAGGATAAAACGTGGGGAATGGGTTGGGACAAATACATTGCATACATTGTCAATATTTTTTATAGGCCTACACAATTAGATTTCGACGTTCCAAACAGAAGGCGGAGAGAAAGATAGATAGATAGATAAAGAGAGAGGGGGAGAGATAAAAAAAAAAAAAAAGAGAGAGATAGAGAAAGAGAGAGAGGGGGAGGGAGGAGAGAGAGAGAGAGAGAGAGAGGAAGAGGGAGAGGGAGAGGGAGAGAGAGAGGGAGAGAGAGAGAGAGAGATGGAGAGAGATGCAGAGAGAGAGAGAGAGAGAGAGAAAGAGATATTGTGACAATGCAAATACAAAGAATACTATGTACATGACATATTAAAAGAGGAGACAAACAATAAGTGATTTCGTTTTTCTGGTAGGGTAAACTGAATTATAACAAAACTCAACTCATTATTTCAAGCCGTCTATACCACAAAGACAAGTGTGCTCAACTAGGTGATTTAAGAGACACTCGTCAATATTTCAAAATGTCCTATCTCCTCTTAAAGTCTCTTTGAAATCCCAAAGCACTTTCGCCCACCTCAGTCCGTTGCCATAGAAACAGTTTGATGGATGCAGTTTCCTTTTCTCCTGTCCATAAGGGGGATCCGCTTATAATCATCAATATGATATTAGGCCGTTTGTTGAAATATAACATGTTGGTGCCTGTTGATAGGGCTCCATGTATGCTTACGGCAAAACAAAATGTTGTTGTGTAGCGGTGCTCATTAAACCTTTCAGAAATGTATAACAAACATCAATTTTAACGCAAAATCCATCTGCGATCCAAATTATTCCCACTTCTCTCCTCCCACCACGAGAGCATAAAAAAGCAAGTAATTGAAGGAAAAATAAAAAAATAAACAAAAACATAAGCAAAGAAACAAAGAAATACAAGAACCAAAGATTTAAAAAAAGGGAAACAAAGAGACAAGAAATAAAAGAAACAAACAAACAAACAATGGAAAAAACAAGCAAAGAAGGAAATAGATAAATAAATAAACAAACAATGTACCATCACACCATTAGAGCTAGCGAGCACACAAAACCTGTTCACAATAGATATGTCCCCAAGATATATAGAGGATGCCGCTCCATCTCTTCTTTATCCGCTCCTGATAGGTGCCCTGCACAAAAGAACTCATCTACGAAATGGCGTACATTGTCTCTCGGACATGACAATTCAAGATCTCGGCTAATTAATGATATTATCTACTGAACAGGTTCCTTTGCCTTTTAGCGATTCACCTTTCTCCTCTTCTTTCATTCATTCCTTTCATTCATTTCATGCCCTGATGTCTTCGTTAAGAAATTCTCTATCTTCCAAGTCTTGAATCCCACCGAAAGGCAACATCCCGGCTAAGTAATGGCTCCTTTAAATTGGAATTATTTTGTTAAAAAACGTTCCATTTTCCTCGGCAATTTTCTATTATTTGACGTTAAGGCGCTTTTCCTCATTGCTCCGTTTTTATTTCTCTCGTCGTGCATTATTTCTTTTACCCTGCCTCATTATCTCATTAATTCTGTCTCTAGAAAAGGAACCTAATATTCTGTTCTCTGTTTTATCTACTTGCATTTTCTCAAGAATAAATTAAGTTTTTTTAATACATTTCAAATTCGTCCTCTACCTACTTTCACTGAACTCGTCAAATCCTTTCCAGGCCCTTTTGCTGCCCTCGATTCTCTACTGACAAATTAATCTCCAATCATTTTTCCAGTCTTCGGTTGCTTCTGAATTTAAATCCTTTTTCACAATCTATAGAGTTGTCATTTAAACACATAATCTTCCAACTCCTTGATCCTTATAATTTTGATCCAAATAAAAAGCCATTTCTAGGCTTCAAAACGTCGAGGGTCCGATACAAGATTTTCATAGTTAATGATATTCTTTTTCAATTTATCTAGCACTCAAAACTCGATGGAAGGGTTTCTTTTACCTGGAGAGATTATGGAAATGCCTCGCATGAGAAGCAGTTTTGGAATCTATATTGTCTGAAACCTATCCGACTGATTGCATAAATAAATATAAATAAAAGTCAGGAGGAAATGTGATGCTTTCTTCCACGCCTAGCTTCTTGATATGAATGAATGAATATTTACTCTGAATGTCAGAAGGAACGCTCTGAAGTAACATAAGTATTTTGATATACTTCAGAATTGAATTCCTTTTGAGACGTACTGTCAGAAGAAAAAAACTCGTTAAAATTTAAAAATCACGTTCTAATTCCTTTCTTGTCATTTCACTTTGTAATCCTGTACTTCCTTCATATCGATATGATAAAGCGACCGTCATACAACTGCAAAGAAATAGACGTATACTGCTTTATTTAATTTCAATTTATATCACGGTTTTAGGAAAAAACATGTGTGAGGTCAGGGCCCTGTAATATGAATATTCAAGTTACAATCATTCGTTAAAAAAAATCTTTTGTATCTCAAATCTTGCTGTATCTTACTACTGTATATGCGTTGTCTCAATCCTTAACATAACATTAATCGTAGGTTACTATTCAGTGAAGGAGAGACGATTTATTTTGCGGAGATACAGTTTAATGGTAACTCTGTAAGTTTCAGGGCCCAAGTCAGTCTATTCTCCAACTACTTTTATCGACGAGGTGAACATTATCGCACAGTACATGGTTACATCGCGGATTTTGGCTTTTTCTTCTAAATATATTCTTCGAACTTTTTTTTAAAACAAAATCTTCGATCTGCCTATATAGTAGTCGTTTTAGAGAGCTTTGAGGCTGCGCAACCCCCCACCATTTCTTCAAGTACCCCCCGCCATTTTTTAATTTTTGTGAGGCACTGGTAAAAAATGAATAAAAGAACCCCCCCCCCCTCCGAAGCCCCCAAAGCCCCCATCAAAAAACGTCTACAACTGCTCCTTTAGATCACGCCCCTGCCCAGCCCGTCTCAATGTCTTTTTCTCCGTCACTCCCAATCCCTCTCACGTATCCAGTCTTACTTTCTTTCTCCCTTTCCGAAGAAAGCACGGATGATGTATCTTCCAAGTCATCCATTACCAGGGTCGCAGACTTCAAATTCCCCATCATCATTCATGAAACAATGCTCCCCGTTGCCTTCACAGCCGCGTTTCCTATATAGCACTTCCATCTCTTCATCATTCAGCGGCACCTCTCTGCAGAAAGACGAAACCCAATTCTGTATTTGATATTCATGGCGGATATTTCTTCCTCTTCAGACACATGCAGCTTAGAGTATATACGGGCTCATATTTATCATTTTGATGTTATTACTTCTGTATCTATCTGGTAAAATAAATATAAATTGTCGGCGTTATTATGAACCGGCGAATTCGTCATATAACTGTAAGGATTCGTCGGTTCAAAATATTGACGAGGAATATTGAAGGACGTAGGGCACGAGGATGACAACTAATGACTTCTCTCTATTTGCTCAATGATGTCATAGACCTCTATGGTGATGTCAATGTCATAAGGCCTTTGGATATCATACGCCAATGCCAGCAGAAAGGAGAACACTTCCTGATCTGC